CGGCGTTTGGCTTGCGCATTCGAACGCGTTTGGCTAGTGCAGTGGAGACAAAGGCGGCTGGGTTTAGGTCTCCCCACTAATTTATTCGAACCAGAGCTCGGCGTACTGACGTCCCCGGGTGCTCGCGTCTCCTTTCTCTCAGTTTCGCGCTGCATAGCTTAGTGCCATCTCTAGCATCAGCACTATTAGCAGAACCGGTTGTCGTAGCTTATTCGATCCAAACCACTATTCGCCACATCCCTGTACTCTTCTCTCTTTTACGCCGTGTTTGTTGCGCTACTTTTTCGTAATCAACAGTTCGATCTTCGCTTGGTCAGATAAACTAAAAGTTAAACATAAAGTAAAATGAAATAATAAACTAAACACAATGTGCCTATGCTGGCATGGATAACACATACTCTACAAAATGCCCGTGCGTCCATTTTCACGCAGTGCACTCCGAAAGCCAATTGATGCTGTCAAAAAAGAAATCTCGGTGAAAGGCTAGGCTGAAAAAACGTCTCGACCTAGAGATCAACAGCCGTATTCACCAGACGTGACTAGCGCCTGTTTAACCGCTGACTAACAACTTCATTGATTAAAGGGATCACGTGACAGGTGGTAAGCACATTTAGTAAGCGCTCGGTTTTCACCAACCACGTGTAGGTCTTAGTCGTTTCAAGTGACTTAGGACTTAGAAGGCGGCTGAAAGATATTACTTTGGGGGTACGGTGTAGTCGACGCTACGAGCTGATGGGACCAATCAAACCGTGTCAAAAGAACACAATCAAAGTTGTTCCTCATGTTTTAGTAAGTGTTCTAATGTCACTGAACCAATCGTAAACACTTGAACTGATCATAAAGCCGTCGCGGAAACGTTCATAAAGCGACTTGAGCTTTTGCCGCCGCTTGATTAGTCTCATTACCTCGTAGCGTCGGCTGCGCGTCGAGTTAAGCAGAAATGAAGTATCGGGGCTCAGTGCCATGGCCGACTCCTATCTCGGTTGACCACAAGCGCTAACGACGTCTTGGCACGGTGGGGGACACATCTAGAAAGAATTGGAACAGCAAACAGTCTGAAGACAAACATCTTTAGGGGTCAGATATACCGCTAAAGCGATCTCAGCAGGGCGTTGAACGATGAGAGAGCCCGCATTTACGGACGCTTCCATATTTGTTTATGTCACTGGCAATTCGGCTTTCGTATTATCTTCCTTCCGTTTCTCTTCTTTTAAATCTTGTGTGTAAAACTTTGCCTCGGAGATTTCTGTTGGTAAAACATTTTTGTTTTCTAATCGATATCTAAATTTTAGTTTTTACAAGATGAAAATCCCCGTTTACGCAGTTACGTTTAAGTCCGGGCTATCTTTCAATGTCACTTTCGCTGGTTACTCTTGACCAGATTGCTTCGCTGGTTACTCTTGACCCGCTTGACCAGGTTACTCTTGACCCGCTTGCTTCGCGCTCGTGAAATTCCCTTAGTCAATAATTTTTCACCTGGCTCCTTAGCTCGCAACTACTTAGGCGCACTGCTGACTTCATGACAGCGCTGGTTAGTCACAGCTGGTAAATACTGCAGCAATTTTTCAGTGTGATATTGAGCGTAATGAAGCCAGCACGCGAAACTACGAGCTAACCAGGAGGCGCCGAAATTGCATCGTCACGGCGCTCACTTTTCTTGTGTGCTACCAGCAACTAAACCAATTACGCGCTAGAAAAAAAAAAAAAAAAGAGCACAGGATCATGGCGAGTTTACTACGCGTGATCGGTTTAACGGCGACGAGTGCCATGACGATGCAGTTTTGACATTGCCTTAATTGGCTCCATCGAACCGCAGTGTGGGCTGCGGTCGGACTTGGAGAGAAATGGAGTACAGTGCCACGCGGCGGGAACTATTTTTTTACGGTGAAGACGGTTCTCCCACCTCGTAATTAATTCATACTCCCAGCTCTCTTCTAGATTGTAGCGTTTAAACCTCGTAGTGCTCTCGTTGGCACGCCTGTTGCTGCCTTTTAGCACAAAAAAAGAAATATATATATATATATATATATATATATATATATATATGTATTCTTCCCTTCTCTCTCTCACATTTTCTTTGGGGAGTTGGAGGGGGTGATTTTCGTTGACTGTCCGCACTCTGCCATGACTTGATGAAGAGCGGTTCCCGCTCGGAACGTCGTCCAATAAACAAATGAGTACATCTTAATATATATGCCGGGTGTTTTTGCGAACACTTTCAAAAATCCTAAAACTTAAGGCGTTTGAAGAAAAAAAAACTGTCTTTGTGAACAAACTACCAGCCACACCGCTAATTAAATAGCCTGCTAATTAATAAAAACTCGTTAATTAACTTTTTAATTAGTGAATATAGACATATGGTTCCAATTAGAAAGTTGCTGAGCGTTATCGAAAACCACTAAATGAGCCATTTTCAGAAAGACTTTTAGTGCGCGAGAACAGTATAATAGCGCACTAAAGTTACCACTCATGGAGCAGGTACAAGGTTAGCGGTTGCGGTAAGGCGACCTCGCGATTTTCCGCCTCTTATCTAGCCCCAGCTTTGTACCTGCTCCACGAGTGGTAACTTTAGTGCGCTACTACTCTTCTCACGCGCTCAAGGTCTTTCTTAAAATGACTGATTTAGCGGTTTTCGATAACGCTCAGCAACTTTCTAATTGGAATCATATGACTATTTCCGCTAAATAAAAGGTTAATTAAGAAATTTTAATTAATCATCTGGCTAATTGGTATGTTTCCAGAAATTCCTGACGTCCTCTGTGGCTGGTAATTTGTTACCGAAGACAGTTTCCTTTTTTTTTTTTTTAAACGCCCTAATTTTCTTAGGGGATATTAGGAATAGCGATTCGAAGCTTTGCCTCACGCTAAATTCAAGCCAAAAAAATCAGCAACTTCCGGACTCACACACGAAACGCTGATTAAGTGCACTCTTAAAATGCTTCTCTCACCTTTTCTAGGCAGGGTGTAATTTTAATTCCTAAAGTTGACATTACATGCATACGACCCGCGTTGGTTTTTCGCTTCGCGCTCGAACACAGGTAGACTCCAACCCATGTATGCAGTAGCTGCATGCCGACGCCTGTTCTGTCGTCAGTTCGTGCCAGCGACGTTCATCACAGCCACGCGCATAGATTGCTATACTTCGTTTCACCTTACGTCCGAGCGCGGCCGATGTTATGAGCCGAAGAGCCAATCAAGCAGCGCAAAACGCGCAACGTCATGGCGTGCTCTCTGCGTTTGATAGAACTAGCCGGCGGAGGAGCACGCACAGAGAAGACGGCGAATACCGGTTGGTCCTATCAAGTGCAGAGAGCAGGCCATGACGTTATGCCTCTTTCGCTGTTTGATTGGCCCTTCGGCTCATAACATCGAACGCGCTCGGACCTAAGTTGAAACGAAGTATAATGCTTAGTAATTTAAATAAACGCGTTGTTAAGCTATACCCCGTTTCACTGTGAGAAGTTCGACCGCGCAACCGACGCTAAGATCGAACGGAGCTGATAAGGCAGCGCTGAAAGTACACCGTCACTGCGCTCGTTCTTTTTCTTTGTGGTTTGCCATCACAGGCTATAAACCGATCACCCAGAAAGAAGCCCTGGATTGCGGTGCCTTCGCTGTGCGTGATCGGTGCAGTCGGCAATAGCAAGCGCCCAAAGGCAAGGAGCGCCTTGACGTTGCCTTTTCGGCGCTGCCTCTTGATTGGCTCGATTGGAATCGTAGAGTCGGTTGCGGTCGAACTTTGAATGAAACGGTGTCTGATGCTCAGGAAACTTTTTTTGCACGAAGAGAGACGGACACGAAGAAGGCTCGTCCGTGTCCATTTCTGTTGGTGCATACAGGATTCCTGAGCTCATATCTGTAGCTCGAGCTGCTCTAGTCTGCACTCGATATGTGATTCGCGCCGTCGTACTGTTTGCTCTCAAACGCGAAACAGTGTATTTCCCGGCTCGAAAAATGTCCGGAAGCGCAAGTCTAGGAATATATCAAAGGTCTTAAAAAAAAAAATACGTGAGTGGCATTTGCTTGTCGAATTTCGGAACGAGAATTTAGCCATTTCGGATCCTGGAGATATCACGATAAAGTTGGAGATATATCTCAGAAGGAGTGAAAGAGAAAGTAGTGCAGGATAAGTTTTGAAGTTTCACAACAAAAATAAAAATTTTTGATCAGTGGAATGTATTAACAGATGAGATCTTCGTAGAACAATATCGGCGCAAAAAAGAGCTAGCACTGTCACAATTGGAAGAATGATTGGAAGCACGCGTCTGGGATTCGAGTTGGATCACGCGAGAGCAAGTTTAATTTGACTCTACTTTTTTATTTTTTGGTGGAAAGCGTTTTTTGAGTACGGATATGAAACAAGAAAACGCAGCACGTCGTCTGCTAACAGAAAAAAAAAAAAAAATGGACCGCCTCCTACGAAAACCGAGTGGCGCAGCGAAGTGAGATCGGACGCAGGCCGAAGTTGTGATCATCTGCTATTTCACGTTCAAAGTGATCAATAATCCGTGATTTCTTTGCAAGTTTCAAGTTGTTCGGCTGCCGTAAAGAAGCTGAAATGCACCGGTGGATAAAGAAAGGCATGCGAACGAAAAGTTCTCACCAAAAAACTGCCCAATCGTGGAATCGTGAATGGTTAAAACTTTTCTCATTGGCCGATTACGCGCGCCCAGCAGAAAAAGGTGAGGCCACGTCCAATCAGCAACCGGGGAAGCTTTTTGCCCTCAACTCTGACCAAAAATAGAACTCCCAAAGCGGTATCCGGACTTCAAAAGCAACTTAACCACCCTACACAACACGCGTATCCTGAAACTCGAACACAAAAGATTTTATGGATATTTCTGCAGTTTATTTGAGGAGAACATTTTGAGCGCATAAAGTATATATATATACCGGATGACTGAGCACCTTAGAAAGGTTAAGGTGCTCAATCAATCAAAACTCATACGAAGAAAAAGAAAATGCGGCGCTGTTTTAACCACAGCTTTCCTCTCCTGCAGATGAGCTCCCTCGTCCAAGTGGTTTCAGCGAAGAACCTATCGGAGCTGCTGTCGTCTGCGTCCTGCAGTCGAAACAACAGCTTCCTTACTTTCCGGCTGTCGAACGACAGCGACGGCGAGACGCTCTCCAGCAACTTCCTCCTGCTCCAAGTGCCTCGCCTGGCCACCGAGATCCCGTCGGCCGCACTCAAGGCAGGTTGGCAAGAGAAGTTTCGCGTCGTTGCCCTCTCCATCCTATAGACGCTTTAAATACGCGCCAGGTTAAAGCCGCCATTGCTAGCCTTCTATTGTCTTGCCAAGATGCCGAGCCACTGAAACGGGCGTTGACAAGTCCCTACAAAGTCCTTTGCCGGAGATGGGGACACAGTAGAACCTAATACGCGATTAACTCTGTGGTAATCACGAAGTGAAGTAGACAAAATAAAAGAAAACCAAAACTGAAGGTTGGTTATGGCGCCGCCGATGCACAGCTGGTTAAAAGCGTCTATTCTTGCAGAAAGCCATAGGGCGGTAAGCCAGGAAGCACCGCTGTGCAGAGGTGTCTCTATGAACTTTTGTGTGCAAGGTTGTCAAGGCTATTCAATGAACCCTAGGAACGTAGCTCCAAGCTCCCCGTATGGTCGCCATTTTGGTCCGTGAAATCAGCGATTCCTCCTTGACCTCTCCGTTCTTGGTGAGCCGGTCTCAATTCGCAGGTGACGGGTAGCTTTATGGAGACGTTTCTTGTATACCGAGATTTGGCTATCCCCACACCGGCGAAACAAGCGTACATCTTCGTACCACCACCACATGGTGTGTCAGTTCTCGGAGGCACTGAAAAATAAGTTTACTGTTTTAAAATACGCAAGACGAACAATATAACCGTAAGAGATCCGTTGAGATGGGCATGCATGATTGATAAGTTGATTGCATACACAGTCCCAAAGACGCTTATATTGGCGAGGAACGCTTCCGGTACGATGATGCTCCATGGTGATCTTGTTTAGAACGACCCTCTGGAAGCTTCGAAGATTTGAATGAACCAAGATGGTGACGTAGACAGATTAGCCAATCGCCTCGCGAGGTTTTCGTCGTCTGTATGTTAGTATATGTTTGTGTCCGGCTAGCAGATATGGAAGGTAATGTCACTACTCTCCCAGGATTCAGTTACTTTAGTCGAGGCTAGAGTAACTTCCACAGTGGTGCAGCCCCGCACTACAGTAAGGTAGAACTAGAAGTGGAAAAGGCAGCGGCGGTGCCCCATCGGCCGCTTGAAGTTAAGGGCGTTGAAAGCCGTGCGTGGCGCTGGTGTTAAAATCTCGATCAGCTCGTGCTGCTCGTGCTGTGCACTGCTCTGTCCGGTAAACAAAAGGGAACGCTTTGTACAGGTTTGCGGCTCGTCGTTGTATGCGAGCAAGGCGAGGCCGTGCTCGGAAAAAGAGCACTAGCGCTACCTGGCAGGTTCAACAGGATGTGCCTCACGCGAATGCCGCATCCTAGCCGCATCCTGTTTCTAGTTCACTGTACCCGCACTGCCGCGAGAGCACGTGCACCTTCCTCCTTCGATTTCATGTGCTCCCGCAAGTAGGTTTTACACCGGTGGAGCACCACGGAAGCTACGCTTCCCTGGACAGTGTAGCACGAAATGGTTGACGCCGAGTGTAGTGTACTTGCTTAGCAAATTTCTAAATATTGCCCCGCGCAGGACCGAACAAGCAGCGTTCGGTCACGGAACTCTAGAAGATTCACGTTTATTCTTACCAGGGCCGTCACTTTTATCATTTTGTCCTAGTTTCTTGTTCTGGAAAGTGCCTGTTCATTCTCACCTCGAACGCCCGGTGCTCAAACTTTCTGGACCGAATTTTCGCGGAGCTTCTAGTCCCAGCTTAAGGGTGAACGGAGTATAGTGAGAGCGGGCTTATTAGAACCAGCGCCTCTCTCTATATTTCAGTGTTTTGCACGTTAAGAAATATGCCTATATTATCTCGCAGCGCGCGTTGTCGTAACGCCAGTGCAAGTTGACGAAGGCACGGGCGTGAGAGCTATGCGTCGAATGTGGTGCACGCGCCTGCGGCAACGTATTCTAAAGCCGTGCTTGCATTTAATGGTCTTCCCCAGAGCGTTACAAAACGCGGGAAAGTACGCATGTATCGCGTTTTAATATTAAAAACGTAACTTTGATACCAGGGTAAAAAATAAAAAGTACTTTTGGGAACACCAGGAAAACATAGTTGTGTTTAGGTCACAAAAGAAAGCAGAGAGCGATGGGAATTCCAATTAGAAATGAATGTAAGGTGTACTTCCTTTTTCTTTTTTTTTTGGTCATCAGCGAATTTGGACTTCCGTATTTCTTGTATTTTTTAAATAATATTATTAAATCTCGTTTTGTATAGTTTTGTTCTATTCTTGCCAGTAATCTTGTGTTGCAAGTTAACCGTACACGAGCTGTAAAAGAGTCACCTAAGAAAGCACTCAACAAATGTAGTTTTGCAAGACTTGTTGCCAGTTTGTGCGGGACGCTCTGGAAACTTGCAAGCGCGAACAATGACGGACACGGAGAAGGGGACACGGACAAGTGCTTGTTCGTGTCCCCTCCCTCGTATCCTTCCTTGTTAGCGCCTACAACTTCCCTGAAAAACCAAACGAGCGTCCGCCTTCCCGTAATTAAGCCAGCATTAAAGACGCCTGAAAGTTGCAAGCTTACTTCTTTTCTTATTATAAATGAAAAAAAAAATCGTAATTTGCTGCCGCTTTAGCGGTGGAGACTGCTCCTTTGCATTTACTTGATGTTGTAGAAAAAAAGACCTCTCCCCAGAGCTCGGGTCCTCTCACTGGCAGTCGAATGGTGTCCAAGACTCGTTAACACTCTACATTACTGCAGCGTTACACTGCCTGTATGGCTCTTGCTGTCCCATATGATTACCACACAAATTCCGATATCGGCGTATATGCCATATTTTTTACAACTTGACCGGAAGTAATGGATAATCATATTACTAACTCCACATTCATTTTTATTATATTTTTATATCTAATGCGTGAGTCAGTCCCGCAGACCTCAAACGCAGTTAATTCGGAAGTTAAAGCGAAGTTTGCATTTGTGACTCTACGAGACCCAAAAGACCCGGACAGCTCGTGCAAAGAGCAATACCGTTCGTGCTTTATTTTCTACGAGAGCACATTTCTTGACGTCGCGCAGCGTTGTTTGCTTGCCTACGTTGTTGAGTCACCGATAAATAGGTGTCATTTTTGCTGTAGTAAAAGCAACACCCATATTATAACGTTGATCCCTGTAGCAATTGTTTTCCTAAACCGTTACCTTATTTTATTATTTTCAAATGCGCAGATTTCCAACGTGAGCGCGCTCCATTCTGAAGATGAAAGCCTCCGAGGTTCCAACGTGCACGAGATTGAACTGAAGACCGATGCAGTGGCCTTGTTCGTGTGGCTGTCCGCGGGTCGCGTTCGAGGACGCTTCTCTGACAACGGTTTCATCATGGTGGACAAAACCACCTCTCTAACCTTTACCAGTGATCTTCCGCTGGACGTGGCCCAGCTTCGTTTGAATATCTCAGTGACTTGCCTGAACTGCTTGCGACACGCTGGCTATTCGCCTATGGCTGATATAAAAACACAGTGAAAACAAAGATAGAAGCTTCCCGTAAATTTGCTGAAAACACACGTTCTATAGCTTCTAACGGCTGAAATAAGTTGCAATGACCGAATAGAGGCGTGTTTGCGTGAATGACATGAGATGTAACATTTGTAGTTCGTAAAAACTGCGCTGACTTTTTCCCCAGAGTTTTTTTTTTAATCATCTTTGCCCGGATAGCTCGCGTCTTTGGCTTCGCTTTGTTCTTCAGTTTTTAATTTTCGTTCATACTTCATGTTGGACAGGATGATCGTGTTTCGGCGTTCTTTCATTTGAAATTGCTGCCGGTCTCAAAAGCGGAAGCACCTTTCACAGCTACAAGCGACCGCATGTAGTCTTATTCAGATAAAACAAAGTATTGATGACTTCAGCGAAACTTTTGTTTCCAGCCTGTTTTAACAATTCTATTTCCAACGGCCCGACATCCGAACTGTTTTTGGTGTGGTGACAAATGAGCGATTGCATTTGTTTTTACAACTTTGTAACTAAAAAGTGGCAACACCGGTAGACGAGCCCACAAAGCTGTCGACCTGGCTTAGTAATAATGTCCCCATAATAAAAAAAAAAATGATCTCGCAATAAAAAGAAGGACCAGGGTAAGTGTTTAACCGCCGCCCAGACATCCAGGAGGTTTTTAGGTTGTCATAAGAAATTTAAAAAAAAAAACAGGCTTCGGACAACGGTCGTCAGGTCGTCAATTATAAGAATGCCTTGCGCGTTATATATTTTGTCAATCCACACAAGAGCTACCGGTTCATGCTGTGTATGTCTTGAGAAAAATTATTATCCTCACCAACTTAAAAACACACACACACACACACACACACGTTTATGGGGCACCAGTGAGAAAGAAAGGTGCGAGAAACATTCTTGTGTTTGTCACCGGCTAGCGACTGCCAAGCGTCATAGAGTCACTAACAGTGGCTGCAAGCGACTTCTGAAACAAATTAGTACTCTAACACGATAATTGACCAAGTCTTTCGAGTCAGAAGTCACGAAAGTCACGTAACAAACTATATTGTCGTGATTACAGCCTTCTCTGCGCGAGCTAGAATGCTCTGGAGCACTGGCATTAGGTAAAGACATCGCGCTAGGGCATCAACGAAAGTGGGCGAATCTCCGGACGGTCACAGGGGATAGCGACCGCCTGAGTGCATCGCTGAAGCTTACGCCGTGCAATCAGTGCGGCAGGGACATCCGCACTCCATTCAGAGGTTCTCTCAGATGACTTACATTCCACGTACAAGTGCGCGTCTGCAGTGACCCACTTAGATAGCACGGTCGCGCGGGAGATCGGACTGAATCACGGCCTTCCACCGGTAGGGGATTTCTTTCTTTATTTTTTTGTTTTCGTATTTATACGCTGTAATTAGAAGGGCTATCCGAACGGCCATGGTTGTCCTCAGAGGACTGGGTTTTATGACGTGCTCCGTATGGCCTTTCTCTTTCGACGCTGATCTTTTCTGGCTTTAATGGCGTCAAAGCACAACCTGACTCCTGCCCGCGGGCAGTGAGGTGCTGGTGTTTGTATGTTGCAATCAGTGTTTTCCTCTGTTGGTTTGTGCATGCTAGTTCGTCCGTTTGTTTCTACGTGCTAATGTGAGTTCATGTATTTGTACCGACGCACGTTGTGTTGTGCTCACTGAAACGGGTGCGTGTGTGCGTGCGTGCGTGCGTGTGTGCGTGCGTGCGTGCGTGCATGCGTGCGTGTTTGTGAGAGAAAGATCTACCGATATTTTGTGAGCGGGGGAAATCACAAAGTATGCCATACAAAGTAAGCCACCGTCGTTGCCGGATTACATTGTGAAAAAAACAAAACAAAAAAAACTAAACCAATTCGTATTGTCAAGCAGCATAATAATTAATAACCTATTTTACATTCTCCAAGAAAAAAAGCCTGCCATATCTACTGCAACAAATCAAAGTTATCACCTTCACAACCAAAATGCTGATTGTTCGAAGCCAATCTGCTTTCGGTTACAACAACTAAGGTAAAAGAAAAAAGAAAACGTCTTTAGAACATAAAAATTAGCCAGGCCAATTTTGTATAAGCCAACAACGGAAGCCTCTACATGCATCACCATTAAAATGCTGATGAAGCTGTTATCTTCTATGATGCAGCGCGTTTAATCTGCAGCTGACGCCACATAACTATAAGATAGCTAAATTGCTTGCCGCTTTAACACCGAATAGCGTGGTTTAAAATAAAACGAATCCTTGTTTCCGACCTTCTCGAGGAACTATGCAACCCGTTCCGGATGGAACTGCCTCCCTTGACATAGTTCATTCTTCTCAAATATTCAAATCTCCCAACTTCTCGTTCGGAGTCGTTTAAGAGACACGTCCAACCGAAAAAGAGATGGGGGAGAGGAGAGGGGGGGGGGGGGGGGGGGGTTGCGAAGCTCGTCGGCTCGGTCGCTCCATAATTACCCTTCTCCTATCTTCTCTATGAAGGAACAAAAATCCCAGATTAAGGACAGCTCGTCCGTGACCGGGAGAACGGAGCCTTTAAAAGGAGAATCCCAAATCCCGCGTTCTTTTTTTAAACAAGCGCAGCGAACAGTCCACTAGAGCTTCGTCTTCATCCGCCGCAATTTTGGAGAAAGCGCGGCGCCTCGTGAACGTTCTTTTAAGAGCAGAGGGGTATTTAGGCGACGGACACGTAGTATACGTAATGTCTTTCTCTGTCCCGTTCAACGTAGACTGCAGGGCCGGTTAGGAAGCGTTGTGTGTGCGTGTGGGAAAAAAGAAGTGGGTGGGGGGGTATCAGAGTAACGTGGGGAATGACCGAGAGAAAAAAGGCAGAGGAGGGAGAGAGGTGGGAGGGGGAGAGTCGGCGCTGCGATCGCGGACTCGCTCCCCGGTTCGGGCGGCCCAGGGCTCGGTTCGTTCAGAGGCCGGTGCCGGCAGTGTCGATGCTGGCGTTCGCTCCGGAGCCCCGCTAGGTCGATTCAAGGCGCGACCAAAGCAGCGCATGCTGCACGGGGCATCCGAGTCCGGACACTGCACGGAGGCCCCGTCGCCGCGTGCATGGATGGCTGCGTGCCGGTGCTGCTGGCGTTGTGGGCCTACGCCACGCTGTCCGGTGAGTGACACCCAACCGGCCTGCCTACCTGACTTTTGCGACCGAAATCGAAGTTTTCGAGTAACGGACTGTTTCCAGAATTGGGAGGCTTCCGGTCCGGGCCCTCCCATGAGGGTTGGTACTCAGCTTCAAAAGAATGCGAAATGTTCACACGAGAAACACTTCTCGCGCGTGCTAGCGTCCTGAAAGATGTACGTGGGAGATTACACTGGGTGACAACTTTATGTGACATTTCCGAAGAGAGAAGGTGTGCGCGTTCAAGGTTTGATCCTCTCAAGTGCGCGCTACCGTATACCTTTGACTGGATAGCCACGTAAAGTTGTCCTCGAGTATAGTAAAATCAGTGCTGGCTGCGTTCACTGAAAGTGAAATGACAATAGTGAGAACTTACGAAACAACAGCGTGCCGTACAGCACGTGGAAACCTATGCAAGAAAGCTGTCCATTCATACAGTACCGTCTGATTAAGTTTAACAACGTTCCGCGAGCTTCCGTAAAGATACGGCCGGGAACTCGCGTAACATTCCTGCTTCGTATGAAACGTCGCAACGTCCTTAAGAAGCAGCTTGACGCACGGCATACAGAGCACGAATGTCCCATTTAAGTGGAAGTCGCATCTGAAGGTAACGTAGCTAAAACGTAGTCAAATGCTACTTTTTTAATGGGCCCGAAGAAATGTAGCACACAATAGTGGGTCGACAAGACGCGGTACTGTCCAGCGGCAGGCCATTCGGCCGACGCCCTTGCTTCAATCGAGTTTGTTGCTCCGCTGCTACGACCACATGGTTTTCAGCTGATTCGTGGTCGCTGGTGTTTTGTTGCACTCAATGTATTTCACGCACAAGTATGCAACTTCATTTAAGATTTTTGTGTTTGTTTACGATTGTTTTCACGAACCGCTGTCATGTCAGAAGAGGTAACATCCAACAGTGACACACTGAGCTCTTGCCAGTTCTTTCTGAATGTGCGTAATAACAATCGTCCGTGAATATGGTTGTAGTTCTTCAGCGGAATCCACAAACAGTTTAATGTAAATGCATAAGAATAGCACCTCACAAAATATTTGCGGCAATTACACCCGTCTTAATTTGCTTTCTGAGTGATCATGAAATTTTACTACGTTCAGATATTTTATAGCTGCAAATCTAGGTATAGCAAAATGCACGTCAGATGTCTTCGCACATACAAATTTGAGCCTCGCACGAGTGCTCAAAATGCATAATACATTTCGAATCGCTGTCCGCTGTAGTCGTGTGCTCTGCTATACAACGAACCTTGGCAAAGGTTTTATATGTAAAACCACGAAACTGATTGTTAAGGGTTGTTTGAGTTGTTTGACTCACAGCTTGCGTGTTTGATCAGGTGTAAAACAGTCCATACTGACGGCGCGAAATCTAGAAGTGAATAGTCAATTTGGCATGTAATATGTCGATTTCACTGTTCCTATTTTTATGTTCTCATTGCACATGAATTTGGTTCCAAACGTTCCTTTATTTGATATATCATTTTCTTCAAACGTATATATTCATGGCGCTTCTTTTTTTTTTTTTTTCGTGCAACCAACGGATTCGCACAATTCTTAGCGAAATCGGATAACTTCTACTTAATTTCAAATCCTCGCTAAACCCCAGCCATTGCAGCAGCTTTCTTTTCTTTTTTTTTTGCTCGTTTTTTCTAAATGTTCAGAGTACGCATCTCAAGAAAAAAAAAAGTTGTGAACACCATCACACATAATATTTACTCCGAAACGTGGTCTAGTTAGTTTCTTCAGCTTTAAGTTGCATTTCCGTTTTACTAGTAATGATTTTAAAGAGTGCCTGTTTTGTCATTTGTTCTAGATAAATTATCGGTGGCTCTTTCCAAAAAAAAAAAAAAAAAGGGGGGGGGGGAATAAACACGTTGGCAGGGCGCTTCGAGGCGGAATAAATAATTATATAAATAAATAAACCGCGGAAACCTCGGTTAATTACCACGACGCGGCTTCTTCCCCCGAAATTTCGCGTTCATCTTAAACCGCGTAAATCAGGGGCC